GGAGGAGGTGTCGGCATGAATAAAAACGATGATAACAACAAATACAATCCAACTCAGGTTTCCACAGATCATATACAAACACCAACCAACGAAACATACGTTAGTACTTAATGTTTTTATTATTTTTGAGAAGATCGAGCCATTTATAATTACACTTAAATTCATTATATAGCCTTGTCAGTTTGGAAGTGAATGTATGCCATATTACCAATGCGCAAAAGGAACGATTATCACTGATGGTGAAGGCGTATTAGATATTCGTTTTGGTCAAGAGGAGAATATCGATCCGCAGCGTCATCCATGCCCGGGCCTCTTTAACACATGTTGTTCACTGCGTGCTGAAACGCCAAATATTCCAAAAATACCAGTGAATGTGGGCTGTGGAATTCGAAATATTAACGGTGTTGGTTTTACAATTAGCGGTGCAATGGATGGGGAAGCTCAATTTGGTGAGTATTTAAATTTGCATTGGCAAAGAAAGCGAGAACCGGAAATGATTTCCGAATTATTTACCATGATTTAGGTGAGTTTCCATGGACAATTGCCATAACAGAAGAAAGCAGAATATATAACGACCAGGTCATCAAAGTTTACATTTGTGGTGGTTCTCTAATTGAGCCGGGTGTCGTTTTAACTGCTGCTCATTGCGTTCATAAAATAAGTCCAAAATTCTTAAGAGTTCGTGCTGGCGAATGGGATACGCAGGTAGAATTAATGAATTGTTTTTTGTATCCGGAATGAGTTTTCAAAATAGTCATTAATCTGTTTATAAATGGTATATATTGCAAGTATGTTAATTTAATAATTTTATTTACACAGACCAGAAATGAAATATTTCAACATCAGGACCGTACTGTAGCCGATTATGTTATTCATCCGGATTTCAACAGCCAAAATATGCACAATGATGTTGCCCTGCTTTTCTTAACGCAGCCATTTGAATTGGCTCCACATATAAACACCATTTGCTTGCCGAATTCGGGTGATGTTTTCGATCATGCAAGATGCTTCGCCAGTGGATGGGGTTGGTTCTTGTCTCGAGTTGGAGTGAATATTTATCGCATTAATTTATAATTTCTGCTCTTTATAGGCAAAGATCTATTTGGTAAGGATGGAAAATATCAAGTGATCTTAAAACGAGTTGAAGTACCGATTGTACCCCATTACCCTTGCCAGCAGAAATTGAGACAAACAAAAGTAGGCACATATTTCAGATTAAATAGGACCTTCGTGTGCGCTGGTAAGATCAATTTTTTAATGAAATTGAAAATAATAGCGAAAACTTCCATTCTTCTAATCTACTTTTGCTTCAATTTCTTAGGAGGCGAAGGTCATGGTGACACCTGTAAGGGAGACGGTGGAAGTCCACTAGCTTGTCCAGTCTCAAATGGTCGATTTGTGCAAACTGGTAATTTTTTGCAAAAAAAAAACTATTTTGAAAAAATTTACAAAACTTATTAATATTTTCTGTGATTATTTTAAATTAGGTATTGTCTCTTGGGGCATAGGATGTAATAACACAACGCCAGGAGTTTATGTAAATATAACAAATGTATATGTTTCATTCTTCGAGTATTAATTATTATTCTTTATTAAAGGTGAATGTGGCAAAATTCAGACAGTGGATAGATGAACAATTGGTGATGAATAATTTTGACACAAATTCGTATTTGTTACAATAGAATAACAATAACGAAGACAAGATCCAGTAAAATTGATTAAAAAAAAATCGAGATGACCAACTCAATCAAAATCTCTCACTCTTTAAATGAAATATGAAAAAACCCAATGACGTCAATTTATTTATTATGATTCCGAATACTGAATTCAAGACACATACACTTTGAAAACAATCGATTTTTGGTATTTCCCTTGACACCTTATCAATTACTTCAGAATTAACTTTTAATATAAATAATGAGTTTGGAGTTTATGCGTATCCATTTTTGAACAAAAAATAAAGATCTTGACAACGATAAGAAAAGAAAAAAAACTGTTTTGAAAGTCATTTGGTGGACTGTCATCGCCCGAGATTTGCTTTACAAGATAATTAGCTTAAGAAGACAGTTAGGCGGCCACTTTAAGCTGTCAAAAGAATGCATGAAGACTAGTGCAAAAGATTCAAAAATATACACAAAAGCCGCCTTACCGAGTCATTCGAATTAGAAAATTCAATGAAAAAAGTTTTATTTCCGTTTTAATCAATGAACCATTTTATTTATAATAAACCACTTTAGCCGAAATTGATTTATATGTATTATATTTACATTGTACACGAACGTTCTGATGAAAAAAATGAAATGTGTGTCTGAATAAAATCGAATTATGATCATTTCATTTGGAGTAGCATTTTGGCGACTGCAAGAGTGTCTCATCTAAGAATGTTTTTCACTTATGAGCCTCACTGAATAGAGAGTAGAATTGAATCAAAGTTGTTTATTAAGCATCTGTTTAGGTGTTGCTATTAATTGGGAGGGGGGGGGGGGAAAATTCACTAACTGTAGTAAAATCAACGGATTGTAAACATGCTGAAAAGAGTAAACATCAGTAAGATTTAAAAATAAAAGAAACCTTGTTGTACATACATTGAATATTTCTTAAAGTTGAGTGGTCGCATCGACAACTACGTGCCGTCATAATTCCGTCAGCAATTGAATGGCATGATTGAAGTTTTGACTTACTAGGTTTAAACTATCGGATACTGCCAATAATTTTTCTATAACTGTAAAACAAATCAAATTAGACAAGCAGAAGGAAGGGTGGAAAAATGAGAGTAGCGTTACCTAGATTTTCATTAGAATTGGCGCGAGCGGCATGCGAGTTCGTTTCGACTTTCAGCTTTTTGAATTTACGTTTAAATGCCCGTTTTCGATTCTTCATGGCGATATTCATCATTAATTCGCTATTTTTCTTCCATTTAAAGCGATAAGGAATTTTCATTTGGAATTTCTTGATGGCTTTTGACTTTGGTTTTAAAGTTGAACTCTCAGAAGAATCGCAAGTACAGCATAATTTTTGTGAGGAAAGAACAGTGGATTTGTCTGTAAAGAAATAAACAAAACATAAATCTTTTCTTTTTAAGTCGAAAGTTATAACGAAAATATCAATTGAAACGAATGGTAGTTCATTTTATTAGATTTTTCAGTGTATAGAATGACGCTAGTGATATATCGTGATACTATTGGTAGTATGATATGAATATCGTGCTATTGGTACATTTCAATTTTGTGACAACAAACAATTCGGATCACCAACGTTTATCCTCAAATGTAGACATCTAAAATATCAAAATGGAACTCTATTTTTGAGTTCACACGCTGAAGATCCAAATTCTTACTGTCACAAAATTAAAATGTACCAATAGCACGCTAGTGTTATATGAATATCGAACTATCAATAGTATTATGATATATCACTAGCGTCATTCTATTCACTGTATTTTTTAAAATTATTTTTACGTTGAAATGAAGATATCTCTATATGTGGGGTCTACTTTAGATATAAAATTCAAATATCGTAAAATTCTTTTTCAAGAGTGTCAGATGATGAAATGAAGAGAAAAATTAAACCAAAGTGCAAAAAAATGAAATTCTGTAAACACTCTATTACTCATTGAGTGAATAAACAAAAATAAATAAACTCTATTAACAGCAAACATTTTGTTAAACAGACACACGTCGTACGACTTCGATGTGCCTTATAAACTATGAGCATTTTATATATTTTAACAGTAATTGATTGAATTCTTTCCAATCAAAATTGTATTTGGAGTGTAAATATAAAAAATTGGTAAAAAAATTACCTTCTTCAATTTTCGCTGGATAGCTTTCGTTTTCTATTTTAGCTATCATTGTACGTGAAATGAAGAAACAACAAACGAATTTGAATTAAAATTGAATTTGTTCTTGGTTTTTTTATTACTAAATAAATCATATACCATTGGTGGGATGAGTACTTGTAGTGTAGTTTGACATTAACTGTCATTGTATATGAAACGGAAAGAAATTAACAAAAAAAATGTGGTAATCAACTCAAGCGGAGTCTTTAATGTAATACCTTCAATTTCTCTTTTTCTCGCTGATACACACGAAAATTATCGATGTGATTTGCCTATGAAAAAGTAATTGAACTTATCAATGTTAGTTGGCATCGAAATTGTGAATAAATGATAAAATACCCGCAAATGTCGGATAAAATTGGACGTTGCTTTCAAAGATCCACGTACACTTATGGGAATGTCGGTTTTCTTTCTGCACAACAAACACTCGGTAACAATGTTTTCGAGTTTGTCCTTCTTTTGGTTGATTATCCGAAAGTAGTCTCTGAATAAAATCGTTCTTGCACTATCATTATTTTTTGGTTGGACGTCAATTTTGGGCCCATTGTCTGCGAATTGAAGTGAATTTGCATTAAAATCTTTGCACAGTCGATCAATTGTGTGCAGCCTTTATACATCTACTAGACTATAACATTGTCAATTTAGGAACCACCACATACAGTATTCACAAGAATGTCTGTCTACTTACACGGAATTGATGGTTCACTCACAATGTTATTGGTTAGAGGCTGAAGTTCATAGTAGCTAGTTAACGGTGAGTTTGTTGTTATTTCCATATTGTCCAAACTTCCTGAATCAAATGTATGATTTTCCATGTTATTGTTCATAATTGATGGTTCGCTCGAATTAACATTGCTCATAGTTGGATATTCATTTGGGTCAAAACAATATAGTATTTGATTACAATTGCTTGATGGTACATTTTCTGTCACCACATTTGAAACAATTGATTTTTCCGTATTTACATTTTGATCATATGAGCGATCTATATCCGATGCACTATTTATGGTTATTGAAAGAAAGAAAAAACAATGAAATGAGACAAACACTACATTTTAAAATGAAACGTTTTTATTGAAATAAGATCGCAAGAAGATGTTTTTTAATTGCTACTCCACAGTGTGTCCACACAATGTGTTTGATTTTTGAAAATGTCTCGAAAAAAAAAAATCGAATGAGTTAGTTTGTGTGTGCGTGTGTTTGTTTTTATTGTGCAACGATTTTATGTGACATAGCAAAGAGTTTCTTGGAGTTTCATTTCAATAAATCCGATCATGTCCACCCCTCATAAATTTCATGTTAATTTTGAATTGAAAATTACTTTGTAAAATGTGAAACATTTTCTTCAACTAGAATTTCATGAGAAATACTTCTCCATATATCATCGAGGTCGTAATAATTTGATTCACTCATTTTTAAATTTAATAGAAAATCCACAGGCGCCAAATACACTTCTGAAAATAATAATCACAACATTATTTAGAATTTATTGATTTTTGAGATTCAAAATTTATTTATAGTTTGTCCGTTTTCTTACGAAAAAAATAACTTTATTTGGTCTTGATCAATGTTTAAATACATAAATACGACGAGTATTTGTGACGAGTTTTCATTACGAGCAGTGGGAGCAGATTTGATTATTTTTACAAGATTTTTGAAAATCAATACACCTCAACATTTATTATCGATTATAATCAGATTCGAGTTAAGAACACAAGCACTCGTTGTCTTTGACTTTCTCTCAACATACATAAATCACTAAATAAAAGTTGACATTAGATTAAATTTGAATTTTCACACCCTAATGAAATTCGCTATTCGATTTCTGATTAGTCTTTTTTGCACTTGGGTCGAAGCTCTTTAATAGAGAGTAAAGGTGTCGGTGAAGTCTATACGGTTTTCTTTTTCACTCGTACTTTCACATAATCGTTCTAGAGACTAGAGCTTTCACGTTCACTACTAGTACAACTGAACTCGATCTATAAATTTCATGTGCGATGTACATTCTCTTTATATACTGTTTGCTCGATATGATTTCAGTAAAAATTTCGACGAATTTTGGCCAATTTTATTTTTGATGAACTTTATTTTAACTTTTCAACGGCGGCCAGTTGTCGATCTTTTCTAAAGGCTAATTTTATTCCTAGTTCCATTTAAAGTAGCTTATGTAGCAGTAGTATTTCCTTTGTTATTTAATTAAGAATTTAGTTGATCAGTGTTTGTCGCTCATTGTGTTGAGTCTTTAATTAATCAATTATTTGTTGTTCGTTCATTCGTCGAAAATAAGAAGAACATTATAATTTGTTTCTATTCAAAAACCTTTTCATCATCATTTTATTTGTAATGTATATTTACCATAACATGATGATTCAATAACAGCGTTTATCGCTTATTACGTTGAGTTTTTTAGTAAAGTATATTTGTTATTCGCACACACTAACAAGATATAAACTGACAAAATGGATGAAAATTAAATTAAGCCTGATATTTCCTTGAAAACCAATGAGCAACATAATATTTCCATTTTGTTTTCAACATGATTTCAAGTCATTTTGATTCTCGATCGGATAAATGGCATCACTATTATTCCTACTAGCTAACTTTTTGCCATTTTCCTTTGAAGAAATTTCAATTTCAAATCAATTACAAATATACCCTACACAAAATTTTCAATTTGTATTGAAATTGCTTCAAACTTTAAGATTCTTAAAGCTTAAGAATTTTATTAGATGTAAGTTGCCATTTGTATCATAATAAAGGAAAGTGAATGTGTCAAGGCACACTTACATTGCTACAATCACTTCGATTGTTTTCACTCCATTTCAGCGCTTGACCTTAGCTGATTCAGCTGCCTGAAAATATCTAAATATAGTGCGGGTGGTAAATAGAAATATTAGTTATGTGGTAACAATTTTACGTTTACAAATTGGAAAAAATATTCAAATTCTTTATTAATTGTTCCACCAAGAAAAATGATACATTTTTGTTCACGGATTATATTACGCCTACATGCATGCAACCTGATTTAAATGAGGCGCACGCTGAAATGTTGCTCATTGTGACTGGTTCATGTTCAACTACAGAAGGACCTTTTAATTCAGGACGCAATCGATCAAATATTCTGCTTGACACCGAATCAAAATTTGTTGGAGTTTGAATGAATGAGCAAAAACAACCTCTTGGAGATTCCAGTCAGCCAAATTGAGGAAAGTATTGTGTTTGAAATACAGGAAGAAGCGATGCCATGGTATTACAAAACTATTGACATCAAATTAAAACCCGTTAACTATCTATGCATTTTATAATGGTAAAAAAGTACCACGTATGTTGAGCTTGGCGACTTTCAATCTTTTTTTTAAGTTAAAGTCTCCACTCAAATTCTATTGCGAAAGCACAAATGGAGACGCAATAATGTAAATATAATGTGACGCTAAATGTCTGCATAATGTTTCTTAATTATTATTAACTCAGCTGTATTTAAAAGACCAATTTTGGACATTTACCATTTTTCTTCTTCAGAAATACCGATACAATGTTTCTGTATACATTGTTTTCCATTTCACCCTTTTAGATCAAATCATTATGGGTATTCAATTGCGAACGTTTTTTGAATTTATAATGATTTCTTTTGAAAAACAAAAGTTTAAACGGAACCGATTTATGGAAAAAAAATGCTTGAAAATTCTTTTTCAAAATAGACATTACTAAAAATGCTGATGAAAAAGTTCGCCTTTTGTTTTCATATTTTCATGCAGGCGACAAAAAATATTAGTAAACAGTTGTGTTGTGCTGTTTTTGTTTTCATTCTAGCGACTGGTCGGTAATCGTTCTGAGCAATCAGTAAGTGAAAAAAAGGCGCGAGTTTGAAAGAAGAAAATGAAAAAGACAAAATGTGACGATGTTAAAAAACAAATTGCATTGGGATTATTGCTTGCGATGATAATAATTTCTTTATTTCTACATAATAACAGATGATTCAAACGTTGAAATTTCTTCAAACTTGGTGAGATTGTGTATTTTGTAGTAAAAAGTGATTCACAAGTTTGCACATTGATTTAGTTACAACAAACATGCAATTATTGCATTTTGATGTCTCGAAATCGGGTTCTTCTCAAAATGTATGTTTGTACTAAAAATCTTGATCACTGTGTAAAAGATATGTTTCGAAATTTTCAAAGTGCTCAAAATTGGATAATCGAAAAAAAATCCATATCTCCTTGCAACTTTTGATGATACGGAAACTTGGTATTTTTTATATATTTTGAATGAGACACTTCGATAAAAAAAAACTTTTTTTCGTGTAATTTAATGGACCACCAATGTGGATGTGTGTGTTCCGTTTACTTATTAAATTCCAAGTATTTTATTTAAACATGTATTTTACATTTATTTTTTTAAATTCGAAATATCCCGATCTATTTTTTATCATAACGCTTACATGCAAAATATGACCCTCAATTTGATCACAATAAAAAAGCAATTCTCCCTCTCTATCTATCGTTGAAGTTCATGATCATTTGACGCATGCCAAAGCAATGTCACAGTAAATGTGCTAATCACTATTTGTTTATATGATATGATGTTGTGAGTAAGGATTGGTTCTTTGCATTGCCATACACACTTATAAAAATGGACAAATCAATGAAATAAAACAAGCCGGTGCCTAGATAGAAAATGTCATGCACAATATTCTGAACGTTGTTGATCAAAAGCCATTCTAGACACTCTATCGAATAAAAATGACAACGACGATGATTGCATCATCATGTCCAAAACAAAAAGAGAAACACAGAACCAGCGGTTTGTTGCACATATATCCAATACAAATGTAAAACAGTGTTTTGCATTTTTTTTTATGTGCGGCAACAGAGTTTATAACGCAAGCATATTTATAACGCAAGTTTGAAGGTTTACCAGATTTATTTATTTTTTCGGTGGAGCTCTTGAAACCAGTCTAAAGAAAATATTATGCACTCTTTGTTACATTTTCTTAGATTTTATGCATACTGTCGCCTCTTAGCTACTGAATAAATCTCGGAATCAGGCATTTTGGATTGGAAATTGGCAAAAAATTTCGACGTAGAAAAACAATAATCGAAATATGATTTCAATTGTTTAAAATAAACAACTTGTTTTTCTGTTTGATACAGAAAAGAGAGAGAGAATTGCCATTGTCAACGTTAGATAACCTGAATGTCAAATATGATAAATATGATATTTTCTGATTCTTTCTCTCGTTCTGTGCATATTTTATGTTTTAAAAATCGTTTACAATCGCAAACGAGAATCTCTGCACCGCACACATATGAATGAAATACAAAGCCACGTGTGAACTGAAGCGATATTCATTCGCATATGATTTTTACCAGTTTCTTTGCAATCATATAAAAGCAGAAGCAACAACCAACACCAACACCATTGTAACGAGTTGTGTGCATGTATAATGAGGAGACAAGCTAATCGTCTCTGAGTAAGGGAGAGAGAGAGTGAGAGAGATGTAGAGCGAGAGTAAAACGTACAGAGTAAGTAACACGCATAGCGCTGGCATGCGACAGTATAAAGCGACGGCCACAGAAAAATATGACAAAAATTATTTGTAAATATCAACGATTACAGTTGACCATTGTCTTTCTACTAGCTTAAACGTTTCTTTGTTATGTGGTGTGTATGTGAATATTTTATTTGTTTTTGTTTTTAAATCAAACAATTTTTCATTCAAATCAGAGAGTGAGAGAGAGAGGAAAACCCCACTTGTCAATCATGAAAAAAAAAACAATTTAAAAATAAATTAAAATAAAAAAATGATTTAATTTAAAGCGATAAGACTACATCGCGGTCGGTGGTTTTTACGTGATTCAAAAAATAAAAGTCAAATCACCTTTTGACGGTTTGGGAAATTCCATATGATGTAATAAATGGCGAATACGTGCGCGAATACATACGTAAATTTAATGATTTGAATTCAATAAATTGATCAATATTAATGAGATTAAAGCTAAAATCCAGTCTAAGCGTGTATTCTTCAATGTTTTTTTCATTTTACATTCTTTCCTTCATCTTCGGCAGATGAGTATAGGTTTCAGAACGAGAATTATTTCGATTTTTATAGATAATATCTTCGTGACAATTCATCCGATGAATAAGAGTGCGTTTTTGAAGCGCAAAACCGTTCACATATCATTCAAAAGAGTTCCGATCGGCGCTTCGCCAATTGGTTTCGTATATTTAGTGAAAGATTTGTTTTGTTTATGTATTTTATTGACGACATCGACGACGACAGATCAGAGTGTGTGAACGAAATCAAACTGTATGTGCTTGTGTGACTCTGTGTTGTTTATTTCGCAATCAAGCCAAACTAGTTTGTTCGTATATATAAGTTGATTACACTGAATACTTAATTTATACAGTCTGTCTGTTGATTCGGTTTCTCTCTCTCTCTTTCGATGAGTGTCTCCTTCCATCATGCGATCGGTCAACGACGACGGTAACCACAATCACACAACCACAATGCTATGCGACGATCTCAACGTTTCGTCGTCTCTTTTAACATCGATCCTTTGACGTTTCAATTTTTTCTTTTCTTCTTTTGATAATTCGTTTTATATCTCATTTGAGTGCGCTAATTAAACGTTTTCATTTTGATAGTCAGTTTAGGTAAATGTCAGCAGGAGCTAAATTACTATCAAATATAGTAACTCTGAGTGACTAAGTGTAACTATATGCGCGTCGAGTGATCAAAAGAGAAGGAGAGAGAAAGCAACAAAGACGACTCATTTGTGTACAATAATATATAAAGTACAGCTGCAAACAGATAAAAAATGAAAATACATTTCGTAATTGCCATATTTATTTTGACTGTGATTTATGCTGTGAATGCAATCCCACAACGACTAGCTAGACAAAACGTTGGAAATGGAAACATTCAAGATAATATTGATTTAGTCTTCACATCGCCTGGTACACCAGTTCAACCATCAGCTTCAAGACAACCAAGTCGTGGATTTCAAGTAAGTTTATTTTTTATTTTTACCATTGACATTTGTTTCATTGAAATCCATTCTGGCTACATTTTTTACATTGTTTATGGCCAATCGAAAATTTGAATTATGCCATTTTACTTAAGAAAAAAATAACAACTCAAAATTACTCAAAAATTACTTCAATCTCTTCAAGAATGTTGTGACACCGGATCCAACTTACGTGCCAACCACCTCTCCACTTGTACTTGTCAAAAATCAACAAAATTGCACATGTGTACCCTATCATATGTGCGACCCAAATTCAAATACTGTCATACAACCGGTAAACGATGACGATGTAACTGGCTTCGGAAAAATTGACATTCGTTTCGATGATCAAGAATGTCAAGATGTCTTAGATGTTTGCTGTGTTGGTGCCGCTCAACGAGAAGAATCAATAACACCAGCTCCAAAAGAAGGGGTTATCACCAAAGAGGCTGGCTGCGGTGTACGCAACGTTAATGGCATTGATTTTCAAATAACTGGCGCTTTTGTAAGTTTTATTTGTATGAAACAAACATCTTAAAAATGACATTCATTTTCTTCTCATCTTCAATCGAACAGGATAACGAAGCAGGTTTTGCTGAATTTCCTTGGACTGTTGCATTAATTCGTATCGATGATGATATATGCATTTGTGGTAAAATAAAAAAACTTATTATTACAGTAGACACTATCGCAAATTGCACATTCTGAAATTTAATGTTTCTGAAATTTAATGAAATCGGGGTAATAGGAGGCTCGTTGATCCATCCAAAGGCGGTATTGACCGGCAACCATTGCGTTAAAGAGTAAGTGTGTCGGTGTGATTTGCGATGATTCAATAAAAATCATTTAATTTCAATATAATTTCCCTGTAGTTATGCGGCCAGAGCAGCAGACTTGAAAATTAGAGCCGGTGAGTGGGTAAGTTTCGCCGATGACAAATTTTAAATTCAATCTTTTGCGAACGACAATTTGTTTTTTGTTTTTTAAATGTATCAATATTAGGATACCCAAACAACAAAAGAGCGGCTACCATATCAAGAACGTATTGTATCAAGAATCTTCGGTCATCCAAATTATAATGCAAAGAGTTTGGCATTCGATATTGTAAGTAAAAAATGAACTCATCTCTTTGAACAAGCATCTCAAAATGCTTCAAGCGTTGAATGCTCTATGCAATAATATGCAAGAGACAACAAATTACGAAATTTAAATGAGTGTCTTAATATATGAAGCAAAACATTTTTGAGATTTCGCTTTCCATTTCCGCTGATTACTTTCATTCTTCTTTTTTTTTTTGCTTAAAGGCAATCGTAGAATTAGAAAATCCCTTTGAAATGGACGATCACATCACTACAGTCTGCTTACCGCCGCCAGGTTTTGTTCCGAATCAACAGAACTGCTTTGCAAGCGGCTGGGGCAAAGACGTGTTCGGAAAATCTGGAAAGTATTCAGTGATTTTGAAAAAAGTACCACTTGGAATTGTCGAATTTAATAGATGCCAACGAGAATTACAAAACGAGAGATTAGGAGATAAATTCCGGCTCGATCAGTCATTCATTTGCGCTGGTGGTGTAGAAGGAGTTGACACGTGTCAAGGAGACGGAGGTGCTCCGTTGGTTTGTCCCATCGGACGGCCGGAAGATAATCGCTATGCGCAAAATGGAATTGTAGCTTGGGGCTTAGGTATCAATGAAAATTTCTTTAACTTAGCTATTTATAGTTTTTTTCAAATTTGCATTTGGTATCATATTTTTAACATTTTTTTTTATTTAATTTATTCTAATAGGATGTAATAAGCCCATCCCTGCTGTATACGTAAGTGTTTAAATCCATATAATTCAATTGCATCGTGTGTTGTTAATGATTTTTCACGATTTTATTTTAACACAGGCAAATGTTGCTCAAGCTCGACAATGGATCGATGGACAAATCGCATTCATCGGTTTGGACTCCAGCTACTACACGTTCAGAAATTAATTGTTTACGAAAAACAAAGCGAGAGAGAGAACAAACCACAAATATTCATTCGTTCATTTTTTTTCCAAATTAATTACGAATTTTATTTTAATTGAAATAAAATAATGAAATCTTGATATGAACAAAGTGAAGCTATTTAATTATGGAACCAATTGAATTTTATCGAACATCGAGCCTTTTATTTTATTTGGTCTTATGGTATATAATATCATAATTTTACAAATAAATAAGCAGAATGATGGTTTTTTCATTTGTATGGCGAATTATTTTTTCGACTGACGTATTTTCAATGAAGACAAAACTGTACGAGCACATAGTTCATTTCTGGTTCAACTCATGTATAATGTATATATTGTATAGTTTGCCTCATGAAAGATGGGATGCAAATCAATTGCTTACCCATATAACTCATTTGCGGAGTAATTTTGTCGATGACGTGACTGTGCGGAGTTCGGCGGGGATAGCATGCAAATGCTGTGTGTACCAGTGCAACAGCATTCTTTACTGTTCATAGATTTATTTTGTCCAATCGAACATCTTAGTAGATACAGATAGAAGTGCTGTTACCCTCATACACACAGAGTTTGTATGTCATCTCCGCCAAACTCCGCACAGTCCCGCCACCGTCAAAATTACTCCGCAAATGAATTATATGAGCTATTTAAGAGTTTTCGAAACTTTCATACCATCTTAATGACATTTGTGATTTTTTATGCAATTTTTTTAGTTTTTTTTGTGTTCCACAAAATTATTTTCAGTCAAAATTCGTTCTCATAAAACTGCGTTTTAAATTCAAAACTTCTCGCCGGTGAAATTCTGTTTCATATTATTTGAATTTTGTCTTGAACTCGAAGTCATTTTCCGTTCACTCAGAATATAGATTTGCAAATACAATCGACAATTTTATCGTTCTTAATTTTAGCGTTTTCTCGAATAATTGCATTTGAAGTTCCCCGAACTGTATAAGATGATCCAATATTTTTACGTTTCTCTTTAAAATTGAAAGATAACACTTGATATTTTTAAAAAAATATGGCAATTTTGTATTCGATCAAATGCAAAGAAACAATGATTCAGCATCTTTATTTTAACTTGACAAGAGAAAAATTTCAAGTTTCACGAATTTTTTTTCTCATATATGTTTCCGAAAATAAAATTGTTGATATGAAAAATGGCCAAAGAGTAAGAAATACAGAAGAAAATGCCGAACGCAACCGATAAAACAAATACAACAAATTTTTGTGAAGTATACTCAACGTCAACTCAGTGGATAAACGATTCGTTAATAATAAATCGTTTTGGTATGGCGATGAAGGGCAAAGAGTTCCCAACCCAGCAAGTGTGATTGAGAGTGATGGAGATAAAGGCAGACAGAGAGAGATTCAATATTGAAGTGTCTGTGGTAATATCAAGTGTACGATTCTGAATTGTTTTAAATTAGATGAAAAGAAAGCAGTCCAATCGAAGTCAATATACCGGTCATTTTCAAAATGAACCTCAATTGAATAACCCGAGAGGCTAAACCATTATTATCCATGCATTGAGTGTTATAACCATTATAAAACATTTTCTCACACTGCCGAATTCCTTGCTTTGTCATGGTTATTTTGACGTTCGGTATTTTTGTTTTGTTTCCACAGTGGCGTTCTCAACTCGACCATCTCTTCGAATATCATATGTTTGTGTGTGTGTTTTTTTTTTTACTTTTTGACACTGCATATTTACCTGCGTATATTTTGTGGCATTTCTGTGGCTATCTACAAAGCATTTGGCCCCTTGAGTGGTTTCAACCGATGACAATGTCACAATGTTAATTATGATTAAGAGACGAAACATTCTCAGCATTCAAATAAAAAAAAGTTGACTTTATTGGCCCCTTGGGCAGCTTCCCAACAGAATGTCTCCGTATCCATTTCAATTAATCGATTATACACATACAGAATTACTGTCACAAACAAAATATTGAAGCAATTTTTTGTGTAAACAAATTTCAAACGTATAAAAAGGAGAGAGAAAGAGAGAAAATAGCGCCATAGAGAAAATGTTCATTGAAAGACGATTTTATCAGTTGAACACGGGGTCAAGCGAGAGAAGATAATGAACAACGTTTTGTCTCAACGAACATTTGGCTGTGAACGGCAAACTGATTGAGTGACCGATTTGAAATAGTTTTTTGTTGTTCTTGTTGTGAATTTAGTCAGACACCGCCGCGGGTCACTGATTCTGTCATTTTAGAAGAATGATAAGTTTTTTTTTACGAAGGAATATAACAAAAAATTAAACGTTAAAAATAAGGTGTCAATCACATTTTCGAATCTCACATTTCCATGGTGATCACTTTGTTGTTATGCTTTTGGTAATTTTTATTTAAAAATGAAATATTTTGCCGGATCGATATACAAATGTTCCGTTATTCACATTCAAAACCTTTTTTCAGACGTTTTTATTTAAATTTAAGCGATTTCATTTAAAATTTAAAATCATTTCATACGAAAAACATGCATTTTTTTGTATGGGAACTATGCCAGTTCCAGAAATTATAATGAGATATTTTCAGCCAGATGAATAAGCTCAGCCAAATATCGTCAGGAGCTGAAATGGAGTGAAAACAATAAAAGTGATTGTTATAGTGATTGTAGTAATGTAAGTATTATTATAACCATAACAATCACTTCTATTGTTTTCACTCCATTTCAGCTCCTGACGACATCTGGCTGAAAATATCTCATTATAATGTCTGGCCAGTTCGATTCGAAGATGAATCTAATTACAAATTTTTCGAGATGTACACTTATTTCATATCGGAATGACTTCAAAATCGTTGAGATTAATTATTCTGATAAGAAAATATTATTTACAAACATTCAGCACATCTAACACTTCTAGCAAATTTCCCGAGCTCACGAATATTCTAACCGATTCATATGTAGTTGTGTGAAATTATGCTGAGAGTTTGTTGAGTTCTAAAACAAATAATTGACTATTTCAATATAATGAACAATTATTTCAAACGTTTTGTAATCACTTTTGACATCAATGTAATCAAACAAACCAAATGTCTCGGAAAAACTTTGCTTTAATTTGAATACAACGGTTATTATTTCAACTTTGACGTGCTAGCTTTTATTTTCTGTTTCAGTGCTTATCGTAAGTGGAATTGTACGTGTAATTTTATTTGTGTTTGTTTAGTAATTTTGTTGTTATTTGAAAATAGTTATGCTTTACCATTGAAACGATTGAAAAAAAGAAAAAGAAAATGCAAAGGTAAAGAGAGGCTCTAGATTCTCAAGGGGTTTATATTGAAATAGAACCATTATAATTCTGTTTGCTACTCTCTTGATAAACATCTAAATGTTCCAGGTCTAATTTTTATCACCATTATTAATTATTCTCTTCGACCGTGTAGCATATGATTTGCGATTGCGTAATTTTGAAAAACCATAATCGTTCAAAAGAAAATGACGATGTGGATCGATAATCACTTTAATATAGCGCCAAATTTTTTTTGACTTTGGGGATTGAACTTTTCGATCAACAATTCGTTCAACGATCAAAGTACCCGCCGCCAAGAGAAGCATAAAACCAATTAGCACCAGTAAGATTATAATCCTATCCAGCCTAAAACCCGAATATGTTGAGTGATTGTCTAATTCACTAATTGATCGATAATCTTTTAGCCATTTTTTTATAAGACCACCTTCTGTTGCGTATCGAATGAATGTATTCAAATGGTTTGAGTGTGAAAAGTTCTTGTGAAACAGCATGCTTATTGAATGCTCGTAGATGTTATTTGGAAATTCGAAACAATACAGTCCGTCACTTGCATTGCTTGAAAACGACTGTTTGCGAAAAACAGCGATAGCAAGCTTGTTATTCCATTCAAGCCGATGGAATAACATGCTCGGATCGTCAACCACTTTAAATTCTCGCATCAATCCCATCGAATATGTCTATACATGAATAACAAAAACAAAACAGTTATTGTAATTCACTTGATTAAAATGTTCGTTCTTTTTTACCTGGTTTCGTAGCGCAATTTGTCGATACGCGAATTGATCACCAACCAAAGTAAAGTCACCCGCAATTATTTCTTGAACAGTTTTCACTTGAGGATCATAGAGTGGATCTGTGTAGATTTCCAAAATTTTGGTAAAGATGAATGTAGAAAAAACCATTGCAACGAACATAAGAATTTGAAATCCGGCGCGAGTGGTAAAGATTGTTGGTTTGTAAGTGCATGGAAAACCTAATAAGCAACGAAATCCTTCAATCTTGACAGCGATAAGAGAAACAGAAGAAAAAGAAAATGACTTAATTGTTTATAGAACGACGATTTTGTTTAGTTCATATAAATATATTCACCGCAAAGAGATTCCAATCCCATTTTTGTTTGGGCTCAAATTGTTGGCAATAATATGCAATACACATAATAGTAGTGAATTCCACGGCCAACACCACATATACCAACGGATCATTACATAAATGAAAGATTATTTTCCACAATGCAATTGGTTTATGCTTTTGCACACACCAACTCAAACTATCATGATAATATGACTGCGATGCTTCCGAATAATTTTTCGTCACTGCATTTTCTTCCAAAGCACCGATGAAAATGTTAATTTTCCTAAAACCATATTTGGTTCAAATTATTTGGATTCTATCATTTATTATTAAATAAAAAAAACTTACGCATTTTTTTCTGATCGTAGAAATTTTTCTATCTTATTGTGGACACTGAATACTTCTTTAAGTGTTTCATTCGACTCCAAGAAATTAACTGTCAATTTAAATTTCTTTGCAAAATTGTTTATTATATCCACTTCAAGCCCTTTGAATGATGGTTTTTCATAAAAAGCAAACGGTTTTATTCGTGATACCATTACAGTTAGGTTACTTTGGTGAGTTAGAGATCCAAAGCAAATTTTGGAAGCAATCACTAAAGTGAATAAAATAAATTTCATTTTTGAATATTTTGATTGAGAATAACTTGGAGGAGTTCCTCAAACGAAGTTACCGATCCAACTGAATATCAACACAACAATAACGAAATAAGTCAAGCAACATTCAAATTACTTCCTTTTATTGTATCCGTGATGTCCATCATTACCGCGAT